TTGGTGGAATAGTGCTACTGAAGCGGGGTCAAAGTTCGATCGTCGTAAGGCTCTCTGTGATCAGAAGAAGAATATCCATGGATTTTCGGAGTGGGGGACAAGCATATGAGTGGGAATTACGTAGAGTGGGAGTATCGGGCAGGGAAAACTTCTGCTAGAAGCCCTATAGCAGCCCCGCTGTCACGCGGGTAGGTTCGAAGGGGGGTTTATGTCCTCCTTGTCCTCAATGTTTGCTTTATGTTTTTTAGTTGATTCATTCGCCCGCTAATTAATATTAAGGGATGAGACAAGGACTGTTCGATGGAGAATCAGATTCCCCATCTATCAACCCCCGTTTCATCCCTTAATCTTTGTAATAAAAAAATTAAAACTGCGATGAAAGTCACGGCGCTATGAGAAACCCAATGGTTTCTCGGCGCAGAGTGCCACCCCAATAATTCGCCCGCTAATTAATAAATCGTTTCTCCGCTCCTAATTAATATTAAGCAATGAAACCAACGCTGTTCGATGGAGAATTAAATTCCCCATCCATCAACCCCCCTTTGATCCCTTAATCTCTGTAATCAAAAAATAAAAACTGCGACGAAGATGCAGACTGCAATGTTTGCGAATCGTCGGCGCAATGCTGAAACCAAACACGGCATCCATCCGGAAGCCAATAATGTCAACTCTTTTAGAATTTTTATCGGCAATGTTCCTGTCATTTTCTTCATTTCGAGTTATTATCTAATCAACTGTATTTCAAATAAAAATTGAACCGCTCACGTCAACAGTCAGGGCTGAACTAAACTTCGTGATCGCCAATTCATATTTAGAGTATTGTATTTTTCAGTTTTCCAAAAATTCAGCTACTTCTTCAGTCATTTAAAGATGGTGAAATTTTGCAATGTACTGAAAATGCAAAATTTGGGGCATATATTACTGGGCACATTCGAAAACGATTCCTAAATCTTCAAGTGTTTTTTCCACGCCAATTGTCGAGATATATAACGTCATACATTCAATTTTTGAATTTCCCAATTTTCGACGATGTGTATGTCAAAAATTGACGTAGAACGATTACGTGAAATTTTGGGAATCGTTTTTGAATGTGCTCACTAATATATGATCCAAATTTTGTATCCTTGGTAGATGGAAAAATTTTCACAATCCATCAGTGACTGAGGAAATATCTGAAGAAACAATTAATCTGAACGATAATGCCGGTGTGACGTATTGAGATCGATTAATACGTCGATTTAGTTAGTAATTATATAATACAATATAATCTCTCTATATTATAAAATTCCAAATCGACTTCTGTTAAGACATGAAATGGTGATAATTGCGGGTCATAAGGGTCATAAGAGTCATGATGGTCAGGAGGGTCATAGAGGTGCTAAGGCTCAAAGGGGTGTTAGGAGTTATAAGGGGCATCATAGAGGGGCTAAGCGTCATAAGGGTCACGAGGGTCATAGAGGTGCTAAGGGACATAATGGTCACGAGGGTCATAGAGGTGCCAAGGGTCATAAAGGTTATAGAGAAGCTAAGGGTCATAAGCGTCACGAGAGTCTCAAGGGTCTCGAGGGTCATAGGGGCCCTAAGGGTCGTAGGGATGCTAAGGGTCATAAGGTTCATACAGGGGCTAAGAGTTATGAGGGCCACGAGGGTCACAGATGTACTAAGGGTATTAAGGGTCACGAAGGGCATAGAGGTACTAAGGGTCATAGGGGTGTTAAGGGTCATAAAGGAGCTAAGAGTCATAAGGGTCACGAGGGTCATAGAGGTGCTAAGGGACATAAGGATCACGAGGGTCAGAGAAGTGCTAAAGGTCATAGGGATGTTAAGTGTCATAAGGGTTATAGAAGGGCTAACGGTCATAAGGGTCACGAGGGTCTCAAAGGTCACGAGGGTCACAGGGGCTCTAAATGTCATAGAGGTACTAAGGATCCCGAGGGTCATAGGAGGGCTAAGGGTGACGAGGGTCTTAGGAGCGCTGAGGGTCACGAGGGTGCTAAGGGTCATAAGGTTCATACAGGGGCTAAGAGTTATGAGGGCCACAACTCATAGGGATGTTAAGTGTCATAAGGGTTATAGAAGGGCTAACGGTCATAAGGGTCACGAGGGTCTCAAAGGTCACGAGGGTCACAGGGGCTCTAAATGTCATAGAGGTACTAAGGATCCCGAGGGTCATAGGAGGGCTAAGGGTGACGAGGGTCTTAGGAGCGCTGAGGGTCACGAGGGTGCTAAGGGTCATAAGGTTCATACAGGGGCTAAGAGTTATGAGGGCCACAACTCATAGGGATGTTAAGTGTCATAAGGGTTATAGAAGGGCTAACGGTCATAAGGGTCACGAGGGTCTCAAAGGTCACGAGGGTCACAGGGGCTCTAAATGTCATAGAGGTACTAAGGATCCCGAGGGTCATAGGAGGGCTAAGGGTGACGAGGGTCTTAGGAGCGCTGAGGGTCACGAGGGTCATAGGAGTGCTAAGGGTCACGAGGGTCATAGGGGTGGTAAGGGTCATATGGGTCATGGGCCATATATCTGCCCATATATGGGTGGATGCCCATATATAAAGGGGTGCCATATATATGTGGGGTGCCCATATATGGGGGGGTGCTAATATATGGGGGGGTGCCCATATATGGGGGGGTACCTATATATATAGGGGGTAGCTTAGTCGGTAAGAGTGCCCGGCGCGTATCTGGAAGACCCGGGTTCGATTCCCGGCTGGGTGAAGCGGAAATTTTTTCTCTCTAAATTCTAATTCTCTTAGAATTTTTTTTTAAATTCGGGTGCTAATATACGGGGGGTGCCTATATATGGGGTGCCCATTTATGGGGGGTGCCCATATATGGGGGGCTACCTATATATGGGGGTGCCCATTTATGGGGGGTGCCTATATATGGGAGTACCCATTTATGGGGGGTGCCCCCATATGGGGGGGAATTATACGTATGTGGCCTCTTATGGTAAATTATGTATAGAGCTATCGGAAAAACCCTCCCGGTCACACCCACTCGGTCACACGAGGAGGGAGGATCGAGCGAAGCGAGCGGGGTGGGGCGAAGCCCCCCTGAGGTTGGCAAGCGGAGCGAGCAGGGGGCGTAGCCCTCTAGTATAATATAATATTATAATGCTGGATGATGGGAACGAGAAATATGATTTCTCTTTCCTGTCATCCAGACACTGCTCAGCAATCCGACGGTGTCATTTGGACACCGTGGTAAGCAGTCCCTCGGTTTTTCAGGAGTCCAGTTCAGAATGATGAACTGTTTGACTGTTTGAGTCTCTGTCAGTGATGACGCGAGACAGTGTTAGTGAAGAAAACCGTGAGACTGCTTAGCTCAGCAAACTGGGGCTTTGCCAAGTTTTGATGACTCTGGAAGCACCAGAGTACGATTAGGAGCAGAGTCGAGCGGACCTCTAGCTCAGGCCTTCAGCCAAAATCGAGTCGAAGTCCCTAGTCCCTTAATCACGCGTATACCAACCCATTAGTAAAACAGTCGTGTAATTTAAACCAACGATTAATATACCATACTTTTACCGACTAAATACGCGAGTGTTTATTTAGAATATCACCAAGTACTTTCCCTTCATACTTTTCCTAACATCACTACGAGTGAGCNAGGGGGTAGCTTAGTCGGTAAGAGTGCCCGGCGCGTATCTGGAAGACCCGGGTTCGATTCCCGGCTGGGTGAAGCGGAAATTTTTTCTCTCTAAATTCTAATTCTCTTAGAATTTTTTTTTAAATTCGGGTGCTAATATACGGGGGGTGCCTATATATGGGGTGCCCATTTATGGGGGGTGCCCATATATGGGGGGCTACCTATATATGGGGGTGCCCATTTATGGGGGGTGCCTATATATGGGAGTACCCATTTATGGGGGGTGCCCCCATATGGGGGGGAATTATACGTATGTGGCCTCTTATGGTAAATTATGTATAGAGCTATCGGAAAAACCCTCCCGGTCACACCCACTCGGTCACACGAGGAGGGAGGATCGAGCGAAGCGAGCGGGGTGGGGCGAAGCCCCCCTGAGGTTGGCAAGCGGAGCGAGCAGGGGGCGTAGCCCTCTAGTATAATATAATATTATAATGCTGGATGATGGGAACGAGAAATATGATTTCTCTTTCCTGTCATCCAGACACTGCTCAGCAATCCGACGGTGTCATTTGGACACCGTGGTAAGCAGTCCCTCGGTTTTTCAGGAGTCCAGTTCAGAATGATGAACTGTTTGACTGTTTGAGTCTCTGTCAGTGATGACGCGAGACAGTGTTAGTGAAGAAAACCGTGAGACTGCTTAGCTCAGCAAACTGGGGCTTTGCCAAGTTTTGATGACTCTGGAAGCACCAGAGTACGATTAGGAGCAGAGTCGAGCGGACCTCTAGCTCAGGCCTTCAGCCAAAATCGAGTCGAAGTCCCTAGTCCCTTAATCACGCGTATACCAACCCATTAGTAAAACAGTCGTGTAATTTAAACCAACGATTAATATACCATACTTTTACCGACTAAATACGCGAGTGTTTATTTAGAATATCACCAAGTACTTTCCCTTCATACTTTTCCTAACATCACTACGAGTGAGCGAATCCCCCGTGAGCTCACCGCCAAAGTTAGCTGTAATTAAGGATTACAGTGCAGGATTACAGTGCAGGAATACGTGTAAAGGTGTAGTGAAAAGGAGATTCCACTCACTGACAGTAATAGCTGGACGGAAAAGGACAACTATTCACTGAGTTTTACCTCCGGATAAAACTCATAACGTCACACCGGATTATTTACTTCAGGGGCTCGGAGATAGTTGAGTGAGAAAAGTAGTCCAGCCACAAAAATCGTTACGAGAGGAAATGTGACTGTAACAAAAGTTCACAGTACACTACTGACCCAGTTAATAATGGGACACGAAGTTGAGCTGATGGCAATGATCACACGTCAATTGTGGAGATCTGGGTAGCAATCCAATTTCCAGAATTGATACCAATCGAATGACTTTTATTCAGGCATTTTTGCTCATTCACAGAATCATTATACAAAAATGGTGTGTTCGAATTTCTGCACCATATTTCAAGTCATGTTCCTCAGAAGTGTGAAAAATCGCATAGCCGCCGTGAAAATCTTGAAAATCGAAAGAATTTCAGGATTAAATTTGATAAATTTCAATACTTGGATGTATTCCGGATTATTGGTCAAGTGCTGTGTGTCTCTTTCTAATACCGGTTCTGTCATGAACAACGGCACATCTCTCTCGCACGGCATACAGTGGAAAGAGATACACACCACAAAGGATACAATAAGCTTTTCACACGTGATGAATATAGCCATATTGTATGTAAAAAAACAAGTGAGCGAGCGATTTTTCCATTTGGGCAGCAATGGTTGAGATATTCAACATTCAAAACTCATTGCATGTCACAGATAATATTATGTGATATTATATTGATTCTGTATGTCGGATATCGTTATATTCACCAAACACGTATTTTGTAATGCCCAGTATTTCTGGCCATTTGGAGAGCAATCTTCAAATGTCTACGAACCACTGTAAGTTGAGGCATATTTAAATAAATAAAGCCATACGCTGTGTATATGTAATCTGGTTCAGTCTGGATCATTATCAATAGAATCAAATTTTTTATTGTTGAATTAAATTCTGTCCACGAACAATTGTAGGCTGCCTGGCGAACCCCAGCAACCTGTTTCAATCGAATTGAATAGATAAATCTCATTAACATTAAAAAGCTTGACAGTTTTCATTACCTCATCATTCAAACGTTGGGCGCAAATACAAAACATCATTGTTTGTGCTGTTATACCAGTCGTCAGTAGTGCATTTTTTCCGGCCATTCCCCATTCATTGTTTGACATCCTCTAAAATGGAAATGGATAATTCGTCTCAAATAAAAACAGTTGAAGTACACAGTATTCATGATTACTTCATGAAAAATAACATACGTATTGTAGGCTATAAAGACAGGTGCAAAGATTCAAACCGTTGACCAATACAGTACCAAACAGTATTGGATTATATATTTTTTCCAATTTGTTGACGTATCTACAATATGCACAGATTGTTACAATGATTGAGAATTGTTCTAGATGAGTCAAGTATTTGGCCTGATTTGTATAAGGACATTGGGTCTACGGCCGAATGATTTTGGGGGGAAGGCGAATATTTCTGGATTATTCAAGTAAGTCAAAGAGTGAGTACCATGAAACTTTACCGTGTCAAGATAAAAATGAATACCGCAAATTTCACAATCGAGACGTTTCATCTTCAATGTGGTCTCGATTACATCAATTGCAAATAACGTTTACAGAGAGAAGAATTGTGAGCTCCTCACGACAATAATGAATCTGATGGCAGTACTCAAAACCATGTGGTTAATGCGTTGATAATGAATAAAAACAGATGAAACTTAACAAATTAAAATCATTCTAAATGTAGTTGTTCTTACTTGAATAACATCAAATAGTCCTGCACGGTTTTCTTCAATCGTTGCACAGCTATTCCTGTATGATGCGAGCCTACCGTTTCATTAGTTGGTATATCCAGCAAGCGATTTGCAAGTACCTGAAAATATATTTATATCAGAAAGTTAATTTAATGATTTTGCCATTAAAGGCACTCATAGGTTAACACTAACTACGTTCGTATCATGAATCCTGAGTGATGTTGAACGCTAGAGAATTCTAAACCTCAATGATTCTCAAAGATTGTCTCAGCGGTTCTTCAGTAATTGACAAAAAACGTGAAAAAACGTCAAAAATGATTTTTTTTTTCACTATTATTCCACTATTTCCTTCAAAGTAATGATGCGATTTGAATTTTTTTGTTTTCAATCGATGCGTGTTAATGCAACTTAGAAATGATTAGTTTATGGAGATGATCGTCTCAGCGATTTGTTACTTATTCGCAGAAAATGTGTGAAAACAAAATATTTAAATGAGCTTTCTTTGAAAATTCAACAATTTTACCGAGAATAATGATGAGATATGATTTTTTTTATACGATCGGTGCATTTACATCACTGCAAAAACTCCGGTCTTATTCGAAGATCGACATGTCCAAATTGTAAGACCCGATTGTCCAAATTTTTATGGAACAGATGGCTATTATTTTAAATTATACCGTAACGATTGTTAGGATGGCGACGAAAGGGAAGAGTTCATCCCGAAGTATGTCTGACACTCATTTTTGGACCCTTATATTTTAACCCTTATATTCTGACCCTTATGGGTTGATCCTCATATTTTGATTTTTACATTTTGACCCTTATATATTGACCCCGATCGTATATCCCTTATATTCTGACCATTGTATTTTGTCCCTTATATTCTGGTCTTTATATTCTGACCCTTGACTTTTGACTCTACTATTTAGAACCTTATATCCCTTATACTCTGATTCGTATATTTTGACGCGTATATTCGGATATTTTGAGCTTTCCATATTGACTCTTATATTTTGACCCTTATGCTCTGACCGTTATATTATGACCTTTGTCTTTGAACCTTTGTATTTTGATTTTTCTATTTCGACCCTTACATACTTTGCTGAAATTGGGTGTGACCCATTATACGGCGAACGAATAACTTCTTCTAACTAATGTGTTTACATTTGTCCCTGTAATTATCCAAAAGATAAAGATCCGTGAGCGTAACCAGGCTTCTCTCCTTGGTTTCTTTGCTCAAGTCCATCTCCCGACTCCATAAACTATATATTTAGTACACTGATTCGAAAGCTTATTAAATAAGCTTCAAATTGACACCTGATTTGTCTAATTCTGACCATTTTTCATTGACTTATGAGAGTTTTAGGAGAAAATTCAATTTTTCGGTTTCACTTGAACAATTCATTTTGGTTGGATTTTTCGATACTTTAAAATAGACTAGGAATAGATAGGAATATTTTTATATCATTTTTAAGGGCATTTTATATTCTTCAAAATGATGTCTGATAAATCTCATTTGATTCAATTTTCATCAAGTTATTGCAGATCGTTTCCATTTTTAACCTTGGGTCGGGTACTGTTGGTCTAAAAACCATTCGTCCAATGACTTTTCCTCCAATGACTTTTCGTTCAAAATGACTTCGTCCAACGATACTATTCGGCCAAAAAACACTTTGTCCAAAATACATTCTGTCCACTATACAAAACGTCCAATGCCTCTGAAACCGGAAGACAGAAAGGGAAAACAAGCAGGGGTTCGAGCCTTTTTGGCCGAAGCCATCTGACCGTTATTTTATGTGTTATAACTCTTTTTCTTTCTTTCATTTCTACCAATTCCATTGGGAGTAAGCTTCCAAATGGGATAGAAGGCATTCGGATAGAAGGTATCGAAATAAATATTTTGAAAAAAAAAATTCAAATCGGTTGCGTAGTTTTTAAGCTATTGCACATAAAAGGTTTTCAGAGAAAGTCGAATACCTTGGAAACTACTACGGAAACTACTACTAATATTATGAGAAAAAGATTCTGTACAAATTTCAAGTTGATATCTCAATGTTTGTACAAGCTAGAGAAAAAACAGACAAACGGAAATATCTCGAAAACTTTGTATGAACGGGTATATATGTTTTGATTGATTCGGATAGAAGGCATCGCAACGAATATTTTGAAAAAAAAATTTGGAATCGGTTGGCTAGCTTCGAAGATATTAGCGAAAAATGATTTAAAAACGAATGGCTTTTGCTCAAAAACTATTTGATTAATCGGGCTGAACTTTTACACAGAGTTAGTCCTTGTTAAGGTCTATAATCTGACAACATTTCAAATTTTATGGAATAAGTTTAGCCAATTAGTTACTCAATTTTCCAAAAATTGACCACCGGAAAGGTGGCGATGGACATTGACACCGACAGACATGGTCGCCAAACTTCGTATTTTTAGGTTTCAGACCATTCTACATCATTTCCAATCAAAATTAGAGAATGTGAAAACAGCACAATTACAATGCTTACATTCGGAACCAAAAATGATTTAAAAACGAATAGCTTTTCCTCAAAAACTATTTGATTAATCGGGCTGAACTTTTGCACAGAGTTAGTCCTTGTTAAGGTCTATAATCTGACAACATTTCAAATTTTTTGGAATAAGTTTAGCCAATTAGTTACTCAATTTTCCAAAAATTGACCACCGGAAAGGTGGCGATGGACATTGATACCGACAGACATGGTCGCCAAACTTCGTATTTTTAGGTTTCAGACCATTCTACATCATTTCCAATCAAAATTAGAGAATGTGAAAACAGCACAATTACAATGCTTACATTCGGAACCAAAAATGATTTAAAAACGAATAGCTTTTCCTCAAAAACTATTTGATTAATCGGGCTGAACTTTTGCACAGAGTTAGTCCTTGTTAAGGTCTATAATCTGACAACATTTCAAATTTTTTGGAATAAGTTTAGCCAATTAGTTACTCAATTTTCCAAAAATTGACCACCGGAAAGGTGGCGATGGACATTGATACCGACAGACATGGTCGCCAAACTTCGTATTTTTAGGTTTCAGACCATTCTACATCATTTCCAATCAAAATTAGAGAATGTGAAAACAGCACAATTACAATGCTTCCATTCGGAAGCAAAACAAGTTGCCCATGAGAATGATCATTTTGAGATTTTTTTCTCTCCTGAATATCCGAACGATTCCCGAAAAGGAATTTTCAAATAGCAACGATAATAAGTCGACATGTTCAGAAAGTATCAAATAAAATAAAAAATTGACTCTTCACGTGATCCTTTGTATTTTTTATTTTTGTTCTTTGACTACGCAAAAAAATGAAAACGAAATCATTCTCTACATGATGTGGGGAGGGGGTGTGGTGGATTTTGTGACGTAATATACAGGGGGATTTCAAGTTTATGACCGTCTTGTGACGGAGGGGAGAGGGAGTCCATAATGCCTTGAAAACGCGACGTAATATATGAATGCTCCTTTAACTACATGACGATCTTCATAAACTACATTACATAAATGAAAATTCTTCAATATTACCATAAATTCTTCATTACACTATAAGAGCAGAAGAGCACACAAGCTCCTGCAAAATAGAACTCTAAACAAGTGTAATATGGCAAGGTCGGGCAATAAGTGGGAGTCAAAACATGATAACAGTCAGACCTTTCAATGATCATAATCGTCACAACGGTAACTACAAATAAGTACTGGCTAGGTTCATTAGGGTCAGGCACTAAAAGGGTCAGAATGGTCAGATAGTAAAAAGGTGAGAAGAGTAAGAAACTCTGAGGGTCACAAGAGTCAGAGGCAATAAGGGTTAGCAACCCTAAGGTCAAACGTCTTAAAAGTTCGGAACATCACAGGTCTGATGAGATAGTTCCATCACAATAATTTGGGACTTAATGCCATACCTCTTCATAATGCCAATACTCAAATGGATTTCTAATGACCCTCATGTCTAATACAGAAAATGTACTGTCCAAAAAACATTTAGCCCTCAACACATTGGGTGGCTACAGCGGGCCCCACTTTTCTCTACTTCGTAGTAGAGAGAATTTTCGAAACACTCGATACATCCAACCTTCAGAACAGCTAAGCTGTCAAAAAAATGAACTCCAAAACATGTGATCATGTAGATTAAACTCTTGAAATGTCTGCAGACATGACCTTCAAGTCCTCTGAACTCATAATGTATGGGCCTCTAGGGCAGGCCTGGACAAAGTGAGCTCTCCGAGCTCACCGAGCTCCCAACCCCAATTAGGCCAATGACCATAAAAAAAGGGGTGCTGTTGTATTGTGTAGGTAGTCGGAGTGGCGAGACCCAATGCTTGGATCAGAGTGGGGGTATCGTTATGTCAGTCAACACGCAAAAAATTTGAATTTTTGAAAGAAAAATATGAATATTTTTCTTGATATATTTTGCATTATTAAAAAATATCAATTGTTCATTTTTTTCTATATCAACTTCCGCATAAAATTCCGTTTAATAAATCACTCCAAATTAAATATTTCGGCAGCAAATGAATTAAAAAACACTAGTGAAAAGATTTTTTAATTTTTGTTAATATTGTTTGAACATTCCCTAAGCAGTATTTAAAAAATTTAATTGTGTTTTCCGCATTTCAGGAATTAAATGTTCAGCAAGTGACAGTCTTACTTAAATTTAAAAGATTTTTTACCTTAAAAAAGTACGAAAACAAGAAATTTGATCATTTCATCTCTTGACTTTTTTTCATTATATCTATCCCACTGTTAAATCTTTGAAAATTCACCCATTTCCAGTTAACCACGAAAATGAATAATTACTGCAGAAAAAAATCAAAATAATTAGCTGCAGAGAGTGACCGAGCAAAGATAATTGAGAAATGATCACAGATGAAAAAATCGAATAAACAATCCTAGTTTTTTATTTTAATGAAATACTATTGGATTCCTATGAAAATTCCATTAGTGTTTGGCCGACCATTATTTGGGATTTGTTCCAATATGAATATTGAAAGAATAAATAGATTCATAGGAAAAATTAACTTAAAAGAATTTGTTCATACAATTTTTTATTTATATGAAATTATGAGATGTCATGCAATTTTCTTATTTTCCCAATATTTCCCGCCATTCCTTCCCATTCCTTAATTTTCTTTCCTTCCAACACTGAGAGAAGAAAATGGTTTCGAAAATTACAAAAAATCTAATCGCTAACGATCAATTAGTTTGCGGCTAGAATTTTTTTCATATTATCAAAACATTTTTTTCTTTTAGTGTTTTCCTGACGGAATACGCCTACCACCTTCCCGTGGTTTCCGTTGAGTAGCTATGAAAAATGCTGGCCAAGAGTGGGCAAAACTTATAAGTTAATCTTTAAATTAATAATTAATTAATTAAATTTTAAAGAACTGACATCTCATATTTTTTTCAATTTTTAATAAAATAATTATTCAATATTAAGGTGACTAAGAAATAATCAATTTCTGGCACCATGATGTTTTAACAATTACCCCCGGTACAACTAAGCGTTTTTCAAGTTAAATTGGTGAAAATTTGTTTGAATTTTTAGGCGGTAATTTTTTTTTAATTTTGAGGGGGAGTGCGTGGCGCTCTCTGTCTTACTGCGCCCCTCTTCGTGCACGCTGCTACCCCCACTCTGACTACGCTGGGCCTCACGCAATTGGGGGATTGTATTCCGAACAATGGGTCTAATAGGGCTTTATGGCCGTGGCTCCCGAGGTTCCGACTTTCCCATCCCTGCTCTAGGGATATGTAAAATTCTATACATCTAAGTCCCAAACGTCTGACACAGAAAGGGCCTAACTCACAGAATGTAAATTCTTCAGATGTCTAATCCACCCGCAGAAAACACGAAGCTTGAAGCTTCTAAACAATACAAATCTCCAGGCCTAAGAATATTCGACCCTCGTTACAACAATTTTCACCATTAAATAATAAAACGTGAAGTTGATTTATTAATTGCGGAGAGCGGGGTAAAATAGATCGTCTTATGATCATGTCTAATCCAAATATATTTGACTAAAAATTAAGGAATTAGGATGACGTGTGTGACGTTTGGTTCCACCCGCCTTCTTCCTCTAGATTTTTGTAGACTTATTGTAGACTTACCCAGGACCGGACATCAACGTACTTCATTTTATTGAAGAATGAAATGAATTGGATTTGGGTGACATCACGAGCACAAACTTAAATTTTGAAAGAGAAAATCAACCCTCAAAACATGGCCCCGTAGAGCTGATGAAGCATGAAAACATCTCAATCTCAACACATTCAATCCTTGAAGCGTATGAGTCTCAAGGCTTTCAATTATTGAAAAGTCAAATGTGTAGTTGATTTACCAACATATTCTTCCACAGGCTAACCCAGTAGTGAGAATGACTGTATATTTCGTCTTGCTGAAGAAGAACACCTGAGTGTTGGATAACACGAGCATAAGCGATGGGTTTTGGAACGAAAACTTACCTTCAGAACATCTTGCCCATTGAAGCTCAATGAACTATAGAAACCCCTGATCCTTGGAAAATTCTAGATATTTGTCTGCATCACAACTATGACAGTATTTTATTAACTATTACTCTCACCTTGCCTGAAGTGAGTTTTCGTCTGGATCATCTGCATCTAACTGCTGGACTTTCGAAATAAAGAACACCATGCTACAAAACATATTGGAAACACTCATGTACACTTGAAAAATATATAAAACTGAATGCATGCTTTGACCTGGTACATTTTGCCTCCTGTGTAGTTACACGTCTATGAAAATTTATTTTATTGTAAAGTATGGGTCCTTTCAATATTAACTGACTTTATTAAAAGAATTTGGAGCGCAATAAATAAATGATAAAAAAAAAGATATAAAAAGAAATGACACGCTTGGAGGTTAATAACGAAGATAAAAAAATGACAGGACAGAAGATGATCGTACATGAAATTGAATGACAGGGAGGAGAAGAACAAATACGCAACTATATGAAATTTTATATTTTAGATGTATGGGATTGGTACCAGCTGCGTTTCCTTCGCGAACCCTGGGTAATGTTAATCGTTAGTAGAGATTGATATTAACATCTTACCATGAGCTGCTGAATTTAATCATGAATACCTTAATTATTCAATTGTTTTTCAATCATCATGTTAAGACGGGAAAATTCCGTTGAGAATACCTGCACATGTATATGAGTATCCATAATATTAAATGTGAAGTCTCTCAAGCAGTTTATTTCGATTCCCTGAAGTGAGGACTGGAAATAAACGGCTTAAACGGGATCAAATGGCCATTAGAGGTCTAAAATGGTATAACACGAAAGGACTCATGGTAATAAATTATGCTCACTATTGTACATGAGTAAAAATCCCGGAAAACTCATAGACTCCTCAACTATCGGTGGCAACGTCGATGGAGTCTTCAAACAATGGTACGACACCAACGAAATATGTCTACAAAGAATGAATCTCCAAAAGTTAGTCTTAAATAAAGATAACGGACTCATTTGATTGACATTGGTATACAGTCATATCGAACGAAGTACAATTTGGATATGTCCAAAATCGAGAGAGATAGGAAACATGCTGCTAAATGATTGAAAGGTGATCTATAGAATTGCTTATTTCATATTTGATTCAGAAATTATGATAAAAATTTGAAATACTTCGTGGAAACATTTAATTTTTCATTGTTATTAGAGTAATCATTAATTTTGGCTCTGTGGGTACCCCCAGATAGGAATTGAGAGATGGGCAGAGATAGAATGCATTGACTTCCATGGATTGCCAAATAAAACCCTTGCCTAGAGGTAATTAATTGAAATTTTTTTGCGAGCAAACAACGCTTGAGGTTTCTCGAGTTATATTCAATTTCTCCTAATGAATTTCCAAATACGTCAGGGAGATCGCTGTTTTTCAATAAATTAGTTTACAAGGGGTATAGTCGTGAAAATGGGAGGAACAAAAAACATCACTTGAAAGTGAATCGCCAAGTGTGTTGTGAACTGAGCAAAAAGTCCATCAACTGCTGTCCAGTAAAGAATCAAGAAGTAGATTCCAATTGCTTCTAAAATAATGCAGCAGAAAAAGGAGTGAGGTGTAGATAATGTGAATGGATACTCAGCCGGATAAGCAGTCTGTGAATAATCGAAGGTGTCATTGGTTCCAGATAATTTGAACCGAAGATATACCCTTGAAAACAAAATTGTCTCATTATGCGATAACAACTCTGGCCTCCACGAAGCTCACTATTCAACTTACAGACATGGACGTAATACATATGCCGTGAAAATTGCCGCAACGACTGCACCATACCAAATCCTGAACAAACGCATTGACTTAGCGTCTTCCACCATTCTGTCTGTTATCGTATTTTGGGATACTTCATCGTTCCAACGAAGGTGGAATACTTTTATGAAGTGGTAAAATTCATGCCGATAAACCCATAAACGAAAGCCCTAGATATTTCCAAAGCCAAAATTGTTGTCAATATTTGTTTGCTGCGAATTTACCAATTACGTGCATATTATTATCAACTTGGAGGTACTTTGTATATTCCCAAGGAACAGCAGAGAGCAGCTGCAAGAACTTCAATGGCATATAAAGACTTTTTTCGCGTTTCTATGAATACACTACGGAAGTCACTCATTAATCCGAAAAATAATCCACCTACTCCAAAGATGAAAGGAATCGTTTCCCAAAAATAGAAACTTGGTTCGGCATTTTTGAAAAGACCACCCATCGAATACAACCCTAAACATTGCAAAATTAGAATGTCACCACCGAGGTAGTATTCAAAACGCAAATGTGGTGCTTTCGAGTCTCCTGGTAACTTCGACATTCTTACAATGTTCCTTGCAGTCTGCCAGAACTGGCCTGTTGTTAAACTCTGTATCACCCATAAGGTGGGTTCCGAGGGTGGGGGGGGAGAGGGGGTGAGGCCGGTCGATGTAATGATTCTTCAATTTATGATGAGATGATGCGAATTCGCAAAATTGATGGATATAATGAAGAGGAATCATCATACATTGTTGAAGTATTCGGAGAATGTTCGTGAAGGGAAGCCCAGACATATAGGGTATAGAAGTGGTATAATTTGCATATCAATGGGAAGAATACAGATCGGATTTCGGAGAAGCGCATGAGTTATCGATTGAGTGGTGGTATAGTACATTAGAGTACAAGGGCGCAAATTTCGTTTTCGACGAATGTGAAGTTTACAGGCCGAGCCGAAGGCGAGGTCTGTATTCACATTCGTTGAAAACGAAGTTTATGCCCGAGTGGTCTATACTATATTATGCCACATCGTGCAGAAGTCGAGTTTGAAGCACGCTGCGCAAAGCGCAGCGTGCGATAAACTCGACTTATTACACGGCGTGCCATAAAAAGAATGTACGTCTCTTGAAAGTATACTTCATATTGTTATGTTATAGTATACTGCAACGTTGTACTGAAGTTATCACAAAATATTATCTGTGAGTATTTCAAGGTATCATCTGTATGGCTGTAATATGCGCACTAATTGTTAAGAAGATATATATGGATCAATCTACCGAATCTCTTAGGTGCATTCAATCTCGAAATTGTTGATTTTTATCTAGTCTACAGACTATTTATGTTCGTAGCACTTCGTATTTCTTTAATATGAGAGTTTCCATGCTCCGGTGAATAGTTCAGCATGCTTTTACAATGTCACCGAAAAACAGTTGTATTCTTCGCGAAGAAATTGACTATTGTTTAAAACCAGTGCATGGAATGTATAGGAAATCACTTCGGAAATTTTATAAAACCATTTTCATAATTTGAAAACTAATAATGAATTAGTAATCATTAAAGAATTATTTGACCATTCACTTTGAAAACATTGATGAAAATCGATATTCTTGTTCATTTCCATGTTTCGTTCAATTATATTAGAATTGTATTAGATCATGGGAAATTAGAAAAATCAGTACAGCATACTAATGCATCGTCAACGGGCAACCAGATTCAAAAAAGTTCAAATGCAAAAGTTATCACAAAAATCTGATAACCTGAAAATTTATTCATTTATTTTATTTATTTATTTCGTACACCTGTCCCACAGAGATATCCCTATAGTAGGGGAGAGTTACATAAGTACAGGCTTCATATTTAAGTTGTATTGTGTATAGATATTCGTTTAAACATTTAATCGGCGAGAAGTAAGCATAGGTGAAATAATTGTTTTAACCATTTCTAACTCAAGAGCACATTCCTTAATAGCTACAATTAAATTCTCATTAATAAAATTAACCGAATCATTAACAAAATCAATAGAAACTTTGGGTGACATTAACATACCCCGGTAGAAATCATTAGCTTTACCTAAATCCCATTTAAGATATTTTGTTTTTTTAACTGGTGTAGTTATCGGATGATTATTATTTACAGCTTGTCTGAATGTGACTGTAATCGGAAAATAATCCGACAGAGTCACTGTTTGGTCTACAATAAGATTGTCAATTAAATGCACATCATCATAACATACCCACACTAAGTCAATTACACTCGTTCCATTGGCCGAAATGAATGTGTTCTTTCCCGGATAGTCCCCTTCGACTATCCCATATTGCTCATATAAATATTTAATATTCATTGCTTACTTAAATATTTATATGCGTAATATGAAATCTATCAACCACTTTTTTTGGAAAGTACTCGGACGATAATGGCAACATACCCTTGTTCCCATTAATTGTCATAATTTTCTCAAACTCCAAACTCTACCTACCAGCTAATCGGAACTTAACGGGCAAAGACAGAAACATCATTAACGCCGATTCATTTTTTATTACCCAGTCGGAAATAATCGGACTGTTTTACCAGGGTAATACCCCGGAGATATGGTATCCATAGGGTTAAGGATGCCAAGTGGGTCAAGTGCGCAACTAAATTGATCATTTTTTTCAAAAACCTTGCATAATAAATTGCGTTAACTTGATTAATTCATCTCGCCAATTTATATTCAAATTGAGTTGGAATGTAATACATGTAAAATTTTCTTCTCATTTTTTCGACCAAAAAATATTTGTTTTATTGACTAAATGGTGATATCCGGTGAGAATCGTGGCAATCAGGGGGGTGACACTACAGCATTCTGCCTTTAGATATTCCCGTTCCATTAAGGCCCGTCTTTCAGATTTTTTTTTTCTATTTTTTCCCTAGATTCCCCCCATTTCCCTAGATTATTTTCCATCTTACGCCTATACTGATTAGGATCGATACAACGCGTGATAAAATATGACCTTGGACTCAAATGAAAGTTCATTAGCGTCGCCATGTTAGAAATTAGGTCTCAAAGAGATGTAAGATGTGATAAGGTCATAATTATGCGAATAATGCGGAGCTCATAATACCCTAGATGCCCCCCTTGAGAGTGTGTCTCACGCGTTCAATATGGCGGACAAATTATACAAATGGAAAAACACTAATTATAATTTCCACAAACACCAAGCACACTTGAAAAGTGATTTCTGACATGTGAACCATTATTCTTATTTTTTTTCATCACTTTTCACCCCGATTA